AAGATTTAGGAAAATTTGCATGCATGGTCCACACGGTGCGGTTGCTGGAAAATCGACAATGTCCGTGTGTTTATTGAAATATCATCTATGAAATAATGAATGTGCACCTATCGTATCATGTACCAGCACACTACAGTAAGTTTATGGTCTGAAATGCTATGTTGTATTCTTATTTGTTCCAATTGAGAGCCTGAAATAAAATCTCATTTATTGGAGGGAAAAACTTTGAATTTGAGTTTTCCATGCTTCCAGTTTTTCGCCTTGTCTATAGAACAAGACTTGCTCTACCAAAATTTATAAATATCTGCAAGATAATTAAGAAACCGCAAGCTCTACTTTCTATTTAAGGGGGGAAACAACGAGCATGATCTATTTTCTACTCAATAATACAAAATCAGGAATGAAGAAACCTAGACCGGGTGATCGTACTACAAAAAGAAATATCATAAACAAAATAAAATTAATAAAAAAAACTAGATTGCGAACCTGAAAAGGCCTAAATTTTGATTGATCGAGCAGTCAAACTTTGGATGGAAAAAAAACCTTGCCACCTTTTAAATAGAGATTTCGAGCCTACTAATCCAAGTCTAATAAGGTCATGCCAAAGCTTTCCTAATAAAACTAATTTTAATTTTACTAGAATTCTGTCAGGACTCGGATTCCTTATAATTAAACCAGGATTTTGCATAAATTCGGACTGTGAAAGTTTTTCTCCTAATAAATTGGGCTAGACTTTTGACTGCAGCCCAGGAATCATAAATTTTCAGTTTGCCAACGGCTTAATTTCACAAAATCCCCGGTATCTTCGGGTAATGTTGTACATGGCCCGCCCGATCATTGGGGTGCCTAAGGGGGCGTTTGTTTTACGTTTTTTGCCTGGGGAGGGGGCGGAAAGCTGCCAATGTGGCCAGCTTTCTCCCCAAACGCCTTTTAGAGGCGTTTTAGAGAGAAAGTCACATTGGCAGCTTTCCGCCCCCCTCCCCAGGCAAAAAAATTTTATCAAACGCGCCCTAAACAAAACCCCCTGAACTTTGAACTATTCTCACCAGACCCTATGCACTTTGAAAATAACTAAAAATTTCTTAAGGGAAGAAAAAGAATCTAAAATTTAGGGGATAGATCACTTTTAAATCAAATATTTGGGACTTTCTTTATTTTGGGACTTTTTTTTTACCTTCCATGACTCTAGTTATTTGCAAATAACAAAGAGGGAGGGTCCAATGACAGCATACTAAACTTTCAAGGGGTTTTTGTGTCCCATAGGTTTTTCTTTTATTTTGAGTGGCGCTACATGCACACCATCGGACACAACTCCAATCATACCCTCCCTCTATCTACAGCATAGGGGCCCACTTGAAATTTTTACAGGAGGCTTCACTTGAGATTTTTAAAAAAATCTCAAGTGGGGTAGATAGAGGGAGGGTGTGGTTGGTGTTGTGGCTGAGCGCGTGCCTCAATCATTTTTCTTTAGAGTGGCGCTACAGGTTAGGGTTAGGGTTAGGGTTTTTTGGCGTGGTGGTGGTGGTTTTTTTTCTTTTGGCGTGGGCTGTGAGTGTATAATGTGAGATGAAACTAAGTTCAGGGTGAGCAACAACCCAAATGTGAAAGGGTGAGCAACAACCCTATTAAATCATACTGAACTACTAGTCTCGTATGTTTGAAACCCCCTGTTTTTTAAAATCGACCTCTTTTTGGCATGTTTTGTCAAAAAGAGGTCTATTTTATTATTATTTAGCAAAATGGTCTGTTTTGCTAATTATTTTCTAAAAAGGTCTATTTTACAAAAAATCCCAAATGTGAAATTAGCCCTTTTCATCCCCTTGTACCTCTCTCCCGTCGACAACGGAGAGAGAGAGAGAGAGAGAGAGAGAGAGAGAGAGAGAGAGAGAGAGAGAGAGAGAGAGAGAGAGAGTAACTGGTGAATGAAAACAGAGAAGAAGAAAGAACGAATTTTGAGGGGGGTTCCGCTAATGGGTAAGAGGTTTTTCACTTTCTTTTGTTGTAATTTCTCAAGGAGATTTCTCCTCAATTTATAGGGGCTGAACCCACTAACTCCACCCCCCCCAGATCCGCCCCAATGAGAGATTTTCTCTCAACAACCCTTCCACGTTTTCACGTTCCACAATTCTCTCTACTGAGAATTGTTGATTTGGTCATCTTAGACCAGCTCAAGCTAACATCTCCCACTTGACCAAATCAACCAAGTGATATGCCTCCCACTATCCGTGAGATCAGATGTTTCTGCTTACCATTACTCCCACTATCCGTAGAGAGTAACTCTTATTTCATTATTCATGAAATTTTACTTGGACTTATTTATTCCTAAGTCCCATCAAACTTACATGTTTGATAAAAGATTCTGCTGGTATTCCTTTTGTCAAAGGATCAGCAATCATATCTGTAGTAGGGATATAAGTCACTTTGACTTCTCCATTTTCTACAATATATCGAATATAGTGATACTGGATTTTAATATGTTTTCCTTTGGAGCTATTCGTGCCACTATTGATTAAGCTAATTGCTGCTTGATTATCACAATAAATATCAATAGGTCCTTCTAACAAATTGAGATCAAGATCAATCAAAAACCGTCTTATCCAGACAGCATGTGTAGTTGCCATACTACAAGCTGGTCCTGGATTACTTTGATATCTACTGACTAGACTCACAGCATAAGCTATATCAGGTCTGGTGCACAACATTGCATACATCAAGCTTCCAATTGCTTGAGCATAAGGAACATCTAATGGCTTCTGCCCCTCTCCAGGGCTTTGCTCTTTACATAATCTCTTTCCCATAACCAACGGAGTTGGTGCCGGATTGGAATTCTCCATTCCAAACCTTTTAAGAACTGATCTTAAATATTTTTCTTGGTTTAAACTTAGCATTCTAGACTTTCTATCTCAAATTATTTGAATTCCAAGAATATATGATGCATCTCCCATGTCTTTCATCTCAAACTTTTCGCTGAGATCTGCCTTGGTTTTATTCAACATTTCTATGACATTTCCAGCGAGCAATATATCATCCACATATAAGGAACATTGCTGATTATTAACTATTCGATAACTATTTATATGTTACTCCTATTAATTAAACTTGTTGTAAATATTACCCATCAAAATTTTTATTACAACTTCTACCCATATATAAATAGACATGTTAAGGGACCTAGGGACTAGGGTTTCACCTATCACTATTAGTCTCCTTTGGATCATCAACCAACGGTTCAGATTTGTTCCCAACCCAATATAAATATCTTTCTTCAGCCATTTCATTCTCATAACCCTAGATCTGAGCCGAACTCCCCATCCCCATTCCCCAACCCTAGATCTGAGCTCCCACGACGCCCTCCCTCTCCCACTCCGACGCCCTCCTACAGTCCTACCGATCCGTCGACGCAGTCCCGCTCCGACGTCCTCTTCCCCGCTCCGACGCCCCTCGTCCAGCTCTGACGCCCTCGTCCAGCTCCAATGACGCTCTCCCTCTCCGACGCCCTCCTCCCCGCTCCGACGCCCTCGTCCAGCTCCGACGCCCTCCTCCCCGCTCCGACGCTCTCGTCCAGCTCCGACGCCCTCGTCCAGCTCCGATGCCCTCCTCCCCGCGACGATTTGGGCTTCGGTTCTGAGGTTGCTGAATCGAGTCAGGTAGTGATTTTTTTACTATTTTTCTAAAGACGAAAATTTAATAGCGTTAATAGCAAAATCGAGTCTGGTTTTGTTAATAGCGTTAATAGCGTTAATATCAATCACTTAAGCAAAATCGAGTCTGGTTTTGTTCTTTGACTTCAGTTTGTTTGCTAACTTGATCTTATACCTCTGCTGGAAATGGGAAGGGTGTATGAGCAAGTGAAAGTGTACATAGGTGTTTGATGTAATAAATTTGAGGTTGTCGTGGCTTTAAGGGTGTATGAGCAAGTGAAAGTGTACATAGGTGTTTGATGTAATAAATTTGAGGTTGTCGTGGCTTTATTTAGGTTTGTTGTTCTTTCAATATTCATGTACAAAACTCTCTCTTTTTTTTTGGCTCTTGTAAGCTGGTGGTTTCAATTTCTATTTCTTTTTAATTTTGTTATGGCATTAATCATCTATTTGTGCCCGTTGACGAAAGTTCTGAAATGAAATTGTGCTATATTGGACAGTTGGGGACTTCTTTGGCTGTGGTTTGGTGCATTGAACCTAATTGGTAGGTTGGCTTGAATTAAGAACGAATGAATCAAAAGGTTTTGGCCGCTATTAATGCTACCGGACTGAGTCATGCTTCCCCTCTAATTTTTATAATATAATTCGTTGAGAAATTTTGATACAAGAACATGCAAACATTGCCAAGTAAAATTTTTGTTATCTTTGGACATTTGACAGAATTCAAATCTTTCCACATGTTGATTTATGTACTATATATTCTGATTGTTAATTTTTAAATTTTATTTCTACAGAATGTCATCTCCCCACATGAATTGTCACGCCCCGCTTCCCAAAATACCAGGGAATCGGGACGTGAGCAAGCCCGCGACGTATTAAACTGAGAAGAGATAAGTGCTAGACCCCGTCTTCTCAATCTAATACGCTAAGCGTCAAGAAATATAAAGCGAAGGCACAGGTCCCCGATCACAGTAGCGAGAATATAATAAACAACTCAGAACAGAAAGATCCATATCACAAATATAATATCATCCCAGGCATAATGTTCGGGTCAACATGCCCTTATACAAGACTAGCTATCTGAATAAAATACTGGAAAATATAAAATACAACGATCAGGCGGAAATAGGAATGCTAGAAAAGTAAACTAAGGACTAACAGCTGATAAAAGAAATGACTAGGCTTCGGCTTCTTCTGCTCGGTCTACAGAGTACTCCTGCGGAGGATCTTCTGGCTTCTGGCGATCTCCTAATTGAACCTGTTCTTCCTCTAAGTCTGACGTACACCAGAGAAAACAGGTGTACGTCAGGTGCATGGTGCACGGCAAGATCCCAAAAGGAAGAATAGAACGGTCGTGCGACCAATGCAATAATGGTAGTAACAATAGAAACATACAACTAAAATACTAATGATCTAAATATAATTTACTACTAGAATAGAATAATCATAATAAATCCAAGAAAATCAACCAAGTAACAAGTCGATCATGCAGCTAGCGATCAGATTAATCATCCACGTAACAAGATCATACTAGATGGAATTAATACTTAAAAATCTACAACTCGAGACGTAAAATAAACAACAATCACAATATCACATCACCTCAGACCCACCCCAGTGCTACACAGGAATTTCACTGGTGCGAGCCTGGAAATAATCAACAATCACAATATCACATCACCTCAGACCCACCCTAGTGCGAAACGATTCACTGGTGCGAGCCTGGAAATAAACAATAAACACATCCGATCACTGCTCCTCAGAGCCACCCCAGTGCGAAACGATTCACTGGTGCGAGCCTGGAAATAAATAACAACTTATTTGATAACATGAACCAAGACCTTCCCATCCCAAGTCCAAGTCAACAACTCATATCTCACGGGTCACTATGGTCAAGCAATACTCGCGATTCTCAACTATAACAATGTATAAATGCAATGAATACTATGTAACAGTGTCATGAATCATTAACAGGAAACGTGAACAACTACTAATAACAATGCAAGATGGAACTACAACTATCAACATAAAATCTCCCAATTTCCAATCGTCATGATCATAAATTTATTAATTCCAAAAATAATCTTTTCCAAAAAAAATAGATTCCTTTAAAAGTAACCCCTTTTCCAAAAATTTTCCTTTAAAATTATTTAACATTATAATTATTCAAAACTAGCCCATTTTCCAAAATAAATTCTTCTAACTTATTTATTATTATAATAATTCAAATTAAACCATTTTTCCAAAATAAACTCTTTTAAAAATTATTTCTCATAATAATAATTCTAATTAATCTAGAAAAAAATATTAATTTATTATTTGAAATCATTTAATGTCATCATCAACAGTCCCACGCAGATATATCACAATATATAAGTTATAACTAATCATATTACAGCACAAATAATTCGCAACAGATCCAGAAATTGAATTGACGAGTCAAAGGGAAGCGGGATCTTGCCTCGGGTACGTCGTCAACTGCAGCGGGGGTCGTCGGGGTGGATACACGGGTCACAACAGGTTCAACGGCTCGTCGGAAAGTCAATCGGTTAGAATACAAAAGAGAGGTATTAGTAGCGATTAGCGATATTCGAATGAATATAACGATGTGTAGATAAGGAGCCCAAGTAAAAGGAATATACTGTGTGATAGACAACACGAAGGGCTACGCACCGGTGAAGACGGTGGCGGAAACGGAGATCGGAAGTGGCCGGGAAACGCGTGCGAAGTTGGCACAGTGCTGCTGTTTTCAGCGAACTGCTTGCCGTCGATCGATGTTTCGGACGATACCGAGAGAGATAGAGAGTGATTTAGAGTGTGATACAAATTGGAGGTGATAGGCAATATGTAGGTCTACTCACCGGAGAAGAAATCGACGAAAACGGAGGTCGGAGATGATCGGAAAGTACGCGGGAAGTCGACACAAAACTGCAGAAATCTGCAGTGCAGTTCTTCGCGTTTGGTCGCTGTTCAGGCACGTTTCTTGCTGCTCGGAGCTTTCCTCGCTGTTCGGGCTTGCCGGAGGTGGGAGGAGGTTGCCGGGAGTTGTCGGGAGAGTCTCGGTGGGCTCCGACGGGGCTGACGGGGATCCGGCGGGGCTCCGTTCTGTGCCGGCAAGCTAGCGAAGCGCAACTGGCAGTTTTCGCCGCTGCTCGCTGCTGTGGATGCAGTGCAGCACGCGGGAAAGGAGAGGGATCACCGCGGGAAGCAGGCGGCGGTGAGGGGTGGTGCGGTGACTGGAAGGCTCCGCGCGGTAGGAGAGGAGGAGGAAGGCAAGCAGCTATGGGGCATTCAAGGGGGCTGTTCGTCAGAGTTGGTCGATCTCAAGGAAGAGCTGGAGGGGGCGGAAACGAGGACGAAGCGGCGAGAGGTCGGTGCGGGTAGAGGAGCGGTTCTCTTTGGAGAAATGGGGAGAGAGTGATGAAGATATAGAACGAGTGAGGAGGAGATGGGTTTTCTGTGAGGTTCTCTTGGGTTTGTCTTGAAGAGGGAGAGAGAGAGGGTGAAAAGAGTTGTGTGAACTGAGAGTCTGAGAGATAGAGAAGGAGTGAGATGGAGGGGATGGTTGTTGCGGGTTTTGAGGAAGAGGAGAGAAATTAGAAGAATTTTTCAAAACAGAGACCCACTCCAATTTTTTTTCTTAAAACCGACCCGTTTTTTTTATTTATCAAAACTACGCACCGATTTTGTAATTAACAGCTTAATCACCTTCCTAAACAGTCGGCTGTTGACAACCCCGACTATTTAGGACATTAATTTTTAGGGTTTAAGCTTCTAATTAGGGTTTAACACCTTCCTAAATAGTCGGGGTTGCCAACCCCGACTGTTTAGGATAGTGATATAAGCCTGCTAATTACAAAATCGGGTCGGTTTTGAATAAATAAAAAAGACGGCGGTCGGGTTTTAAGAAAAAAAATTGAAATGGGTCTGTTTTGAAAAATTCTTCGAGAGAAATATATAGAGGGGAGGACGAGAGTGAGAGTGTGAGAGAGAGTGTGTGAGAGTAACAGAGAGAGATTGAGATGAAGAGAGAGAATGAGACGAAGAGATACAAAGAGAGATGATTGGAGAGAGAGTGAGGGAGACAGGAGAGAGAGGCAGGGATTGGTGGAGATCTCACGCGTACCTCACGGCGGCTTGAGGCTGCCTGTGCGTTTGTCAAAGAGGGGGAAAAAATGGTGTGCGAGTTTTTGGCGGATTTAGGCTTGGAGCGGTTGCTTTCGGCGGAAGTGGGTAATTAAGGGAGGAGTTGGTGGAGAAAGAGTGTACGGAGTAGAATAATTAGTTTGGGATTAAAATAAGGAGAGTGAGAGAAGAGAGGAGAGAATGAAATTATTGCTGGAAGGTGAGATGAGAGAGAGAGACGGAGAATAAAAAGAAAATTTGTGGTGGTGTTGTCGTGTAGGTAGATATTATATGTAAGTAATTAATAATAATAATAACAATAATAAATAATCAAATATTAATTAAAAGTTTTATCATAACAATTAAATTTATAATTTGTAAAATCATTAAAATAGATATAAAATTAGATTTTTAAATCATAGGAAAATCTAGAAAATCGGGAAATTACAAATACTCCTTTAAAAATAATAATTAAATATGTTAAAATACCAAAAAATTATTTTAACCAGTATCAAAATTTCACGGTCATTACATTCCTTTAAAAATAATATTTAAATATGTTAAAATACCGAAAAATTATTTTAACCAGTATCAAAATTTCACGGTCATTACATGAATCCATCAAGTGATTCCCCACAGATCGTTGAGAAATTTGTTTATTGATTATATTTATTTTTTTATGATTTTCGAACTATTAGCAAATACATATCGAATATTTAATGAAAAATTCGAAATCAAAATTACCGAATAATGTTAAACGAATATTCACGAATATTTTTCGAACAACAATATAAGTAAACGAATCGAATTCGAATTTGCACAAGTATTCGAGCCGAATTCGAATACGAATACGAATAGCGCAATATGAATCGAATTCGAATTTGAACCTTGCACTATTCGTTCAAATTCGATTCGATTCCACCCCTACTGGCAAGTGAAGGGGGAAGACTATTCAAAATGGTTGCCACTTGCATTCTTTTCGGGATTTCAGTCCCAGCAGTGGATAAGTCCTTAGCCATGACAATCATTTTATTTATATGCTCTACGACATTGTCTCCCTCTTGCATACGACAAGAATTATACTTATGCAAGAGTAGTTGGATGTTAACTTCAGAAGCAGTGTCGTATTTTTATTTTATTGCATTCCACATGTCCGTGGAAGTTTTATAAGTTTCAAAAACTTTGATTAAATTATCGTCCATGAACATGAGCATAAGACTTTTCGCCTTTTTGTCTTTCGACTTCCACTGCTCAAACCCTTTCTTTTCTTCAGGTGTTGATTTATCAGTAAGGATTGGAGCAGTGGTTTCGATTATATCATCAATGTTGTCATGAATAAGAGCATATCCTATTTTTCTATGCCACATATCATAATTACTGTCATTAAATTTGTCAATTTTCCCTAGTTCTGATAGAACGAGTTTACTAGCTATTCGGTAAAGAACTAAAACTAAATTCAATTTTAAATAATTGTATAAGATTGATATTTTAACAATAATACTAAATAATAATAAAGTTTAAAAAAAATAAATTAAATAAAAATGAACCTGATTGTTCCGAGCTGATGAAAGAAGCTCCAATTTGAGCGAGAATGTCACTCAGCGGAGTTGATTGGATCAGCACTTGTCGAAGTTTTGTCGTCGTTTCTGACTGGATTGGAGATGATCTGTTCTGTCAAAAACAATCTCATGCAATGCCCTCCACTCTAAAAGATAAGTAAGCTAGGACTTCACCCAGCCCACAAAATCAATTATAAATCACTTAGGCCCAACTACAAGGCCCAAGTACACACCACCTTAATGCTCCACGCAGCCATGTTATTGAGCTCAACTATGATCAACTAGGCTGGATATAGGCAATTAAACAACTAGGCTAGGCCCAAACTCAAAATTAGAAGCCCAACACACTCTCTCTTTAATAATCCACTTCTGTTATAGAGCTGCAGTCACCAGCTAGGGTTTTTTAGCCTCAAATTGCAAAAGAGGGCCGATCTCTCTCTTTCTCGATCTAAATCAGAGAGTTCGCCGAGGATGGAGAACTCCAGCGTCGAGGTCAAACGTCGTCGCGGCTCAAAAACTCAAAGGGCGTGGGTGGCCAAGCTCGTTGTCGCCGTCGTCGATCAAAGCAGCAGAATCGTCGTCGTTGTAGGCGATTTCAACTCCCAGCAGCCGTCAACCCGCTCTGATACCAGTGAATGAAAACAGAGAAGAAGAAAGAACGAATTTTGAGGGGGTTCCGCTAATGGGTAAGAGGTTTTTCACTTTCTTTTGTTGTAATTTCTCAAGGAGATTTCTCCTCAATTTATAGGGGCTGAACCCACTAACTCCACCCCCCAGATCCGCCCCAATGAGAGATTTTCTCTCAACAACCCTTCCACGTTTTCACGTTCCACAATTCTCTCTACTGAGAATTGTTGATTTGGTCATCTTAGACCAGGTCAAGCTAACAACTGGGGATCTCCGTCTCCCTCCTCACGCCGCCGCCACCGGCGATGAGCGGAGGTCCCAAGTGCACAGGTCAATGCTAAGGCCCGGAGTAAGCAGAAGAAGAAGGCTGCACTTGAGTTCGAGAACCTTGCGGATATTTTCGAGGATTTTAAGACTGTTAGCCAAAAAGTTTTGAGCTTTAGGGTTTTGGGGTTGAGTTGCCACTGAGACAATCAGACCCTTTTGAGGAATCACTTGGAGATGGAACATTGATGCTCAATGCAGGCAAGCCCTTGCTCTTTGTTTACAAACTTGTTTCATGCTGAATTTTATTAAGATTAAAATAATTAGAGGGCAGAATATTCATATTTGGGTCTATACCTGTAGTAGCATTACTGCGATTCATCTTTCATCTGGGGGGTCATAAGTGCAGGGTTATCTACAAGTACCCCTGGTTTTTATTTATTATTTTATATCAAAGAGTGAGTGAGCTAATTTTTTAACTTAGAATTGATAATCTTGCTACTATCGTGCGAATAGATCATATTATCAGCTTTTTGAGTGTTCTTTCCTGGATAAGGAAGTTTCTGTAGTTTTAACCAAAAAAGTGCTTATGCCTGCAAACCGGGATACAAGGGGCTTCTCTGGGTACTTTGATGGTGCAAAGGCTGTTTATATTCAAGGGTGATAGTGTCCTGCAGATGTACTTTATACATATCATCCGGAACTAGATTATCTGGTTGCCACTTTTATTAGTAATTTTTAAGATACATATGTTCTTATTGTTGATTATTTTGTTTCTTCCTTTTCCTCCCTTCGTTCAGTTCTTCGTGACATTGAAAAAAGTAACCACATGCTGAGAAAGATCCTGCAATTAATGGCATACATTAGCTTGTGTCCAAATTCCTTCAGGTCACTGACCAGTGAATGTAAGTTTGAATCCCTTGATATTTTTTTTTTCATCCTGTGTGATATCAAGCTGCTTCATGCAGTCATCTAATTTATTGCCTATCTTAAAGTATCAAACACCAAGTGAAATGCTCTAATTTTGACTTGAAAAATATTCTTATGCTTATAGATCCATTTAGGGGAGGGCCCTGGAGATAAACTTGCATTTCTTACTGGAAAAGAAGAGATTGAATTAGTCGAGAGGCTAATACGTGAGTGTCCTTGCCAATTAACTGAGGGTAGTCAGAAGATCCTGACCGCTTTGGTATACTCCTCACTTCTCTCAGAGCAACAGATGAATGTGTTTAAGCCAGCCCCATGCATCTGGTAATCACAAAGCAAACCTGATTATTTTCCTACACTTATGTGAATGTGAAATTTTTAAGTAAAACCTTGCGTGCTGGACAGGCCTCTGATAACACAGCACGTCCATTGAATTTTCATTGTTGATTTGCATCAAAGATATTAATTGGGGTTTTTGATGTGAGAGTTTTTCTTTTAGGTAGAAAAATTTATCATGGAGGATAGATATAATTTTTGTATTCAAAATGGTTTCAATGACGATATTAGGAATCCCAGTCTTACTCTATGGAAAGGTACATGATTTGTGTAAAAATAGAAATTCAAACTCAAATAAGTCAATTCCATATCAAAAACTTAACTCTATGGAGTCCAAAGTCTAGGATCAACGCGGAAAGTGAAACCTGAGGTCTAGAATGCTATCATGAATCTATGGCCAACATGGAAGATCTCATCTCCATCTGCTGAGAGAGACTTAAGTTCCGGTATTTTCTCCATCTTATGTAGAACTTTGATACAATTACCACGTCTGAAGATGTCTGCTTGTGTCTGTATGCTATACATTTGCGTAATATATTTAATAGTTGTCGACTATTTTGATGTATCGGAGATTTTATTGGGGATCATCTCCCTATCTTTGTTGTATTGTATTTTAATGATGTGACAACTATCACGTGCCACCTAAGTGACACCCCTAGTTAATTTTACGAATGAAGGTTTGCTCCTTTTGATATTCAGGTATATTTGATTAAAAAAATAACATAAAAGCAGAGAATTTCCTTAAGGCATTGTTTGGTTTGTTTCTTGTAAATAAAAAAAGGTAAATAGGGAGAGAAAAAGTACAAGTATGGTTTCCTCCAATTTCCTCCCCAGAACCCATAAAATGGGTGTCCTTGAACAGAGGTCACATCATACAATGAGAGATTGCCACATCATTTTTTTCTTGGTATTTCTTGGTTTCAAGAAGTGAACCAAACAAAGAAAAGGAACCTTATATCGGAAAACATGATGTGGACATTTTTTTGAGTTTTCTACATTTTTCCATAAAACATGGAGTAACCAAATAGCCGCTAAATATAATTGACATGTGATGCAGAGCGCCTCATTTCTCCTCGATGCCGCATTGATGTTGGGGAATGTAAAAGAGTAGGGGGGTTATTCATTGGGGTAATTTAGGGCAAATTGGGGTAATTGTCCGAATGGATGATGATAAAATCTCAATTATTACAAATAAAACTATCCAAAACACAAGCCCACCTCAACCTCCGCCACCGACTTCTCCACCAACCCCATCTCCACCTCCTCCCTCTTACATCCGTACTTCCTGCCACAAATACATCTCCCCACTCAAATACATAGAACAACTCCAGCACCGCCACCAAATAACAAAACACATCCCGAACGAACGACGCCGGATCCAAAGGGAAAGGCGCGGCGATGATCGAAACCGAGCCGACGACGAAGGTGAATACGAAGGCGCCGGCGGAGAG